TAATTTATCGTTGGAGAAATGTACAATTTTGCGTTTTAAGATGGCGGGTATACTCGAACGTAATCGAACGTAGCTAACTGCTTAAATACTCCTTTCCCTTAACACTAGAAGTACCGTAGCAGGCAAAATAACTAGTTTGAATTTTTTGTTTCGCAAGTATTGATATCTTCAAAGTATTCAATATTCGAAGTGGAGTTTCACTTGAATACTATAGTCAGTGCTTGAAGAAACTGAAAATAATCTATTATTACAACTTTTATAGCGATTACATATCACTTGTATTAACTGCTCGGTAGTTTTAATGTTAATTTCTGTTTAGTCTAAATCGTTCACAGATTTTCTCAAGCTTACTTCTTAATGCAATAATTTTGTCATTCGTCTTTGAATTAAATTTGTAATCGAACGATAGACGAAACGCTTGTAAGAAAATGTAAACGAAGGAAAAGTAGAACGTTGGTCGTCTGCGTTTCGTCAATGCGTACCTTCTTAAGGAAAAGCTGTTGCCGAGTCTCGGGGTGTAATACACAGAGCAGGAGCCAAGCGAACAAGGGAGGGCCTGAGACTAAACAGTGTCCTTCTCAAGGCAATCGTTTTGTAGTCGTAGAGACAGCAGCATCACACAGTAAAATAGTTTTCTAATCCACACAATCTTACATTTATTTTACAACTACGGTCCTGCAGTCCGTTATTCAATAGTTAACACATTGTTTGCAGAAGACGCTTAAACGCGTCTTTTGCATACTGTTGTTAAACATCAGAAGACGCTTAAAACGTGTTGTACAGTAAAAATTAGGCGGCAGCCGTTGTGAGACATATAGTAGGTACTAGGTATCCGGCGATTTGTAGAACTAGGGTCGGGTGACAGAATGTGATCATAAAACATGCATTTGAAATACAATAGCTGTAAGATAAAAAATTCGTTTTTATCCACAAAGTACGTAGCGAAACCCGATATATGTGTAAATTCTGTGATGTACCATTGCATAAAGGGAGCTGTTTCCAACAATATCATACTGTGAAACAATATTACTGTTTATTGTTTTGGTATATTATAAAATATATGTTATGTTGAACGTACATAAAATGACTAAATGGACAATACGACAAAAGTGCACTTTTTAAAAAAAATTTTTAATTTAACCTTGAATATCATAATTGTTTGCCCAAAAATATAGAAATTTATGACAATATCATAATAAAAGATTTTATTTAAGATAAGATGTTGAAAATTTTGTTTAATTATCACCAATAGTCCCGACGTTATAGCTATTTTACGTGAAATATAATTTCGCGCATGAATCTATCCCTGATTCCTTCTGTTTGCAATTATTGAAAAGATAACGTGATTCTCTGAGAAATTACCTAAGAAGTTGGCTCAGCAATACGCAAACACAATTGTAAATTAATAGAAATTTCAATAGGTGCAATCTTAGAGTCTACAGAAAAATTTCAAAAAGGCAATTTGACTTCTCCGTAGTTTTAATGTTACACTTACACACTTGTTGCATCTTCAGTTTAATTCAATAAAATATGATTATTTAGTTATAAAATCGAATGAAGGTCGTAAAATTAATCTCAGATCTTCTTTATGTAATATTTCAACAATTTTAACAAAAATGCTTGTGGTCGAATTTATGAATCTCTATGAATTTCTAGTGTGCAACCCGAAGGAAGGAGATGATCCATAAACGTTCGCTTCGCCTCGTTTTTGCGCAACCTGTACTCCACTCAAGTTGGGCAGCATTGGGTTAAATGATCGTCGGGGTTACGTAAAGACGCGTTTTGCTGGCGCCTCTCGTCCCGTGTCTCTCTCTTTCTCTTCCACCGTCGATAGGACGCGACAGTTTTTTGTGGTTGGATGTATGTCGCCAAGTGGGCAGTCTGAGACACTGCGGAGACCGATCGCATCGCGTAATTAAGACCTTATGAATATTCTCAGGTCTAATGCGAATGTACATATATGATCCCCTGATATTTATATTTCGAATTTCAATTGGAGAGAAGATAAATATTTATTTTCGTAGGCGTCAAATGACATTCCCGTGTTATGAAATTTGCTCGAATTTCTTCAAGAATCGATGTAGGAGAAAGGTAGAATATTTCCTTGAAAAAGAAACCATAAATCTTGGAAAGAAAGTCGGTGAAACGGGAACGACGGGTTCGGGTGATCTTCGATTCGAAAGATAATTGTACCTGCTGCGGGTTTTCTATGGAACACCATTCGAAGTTGTAAAAGGTGTTGCTACGGTGATGGGTCAACAGATACAACCTACCTGCCGACCTACGTTACTAATTCAAAAGGGAAAAGTCTGCCTGGTATATTTCAATTCTAATTTGACAACTCTGTTATATGACCATTAAATTTCTTTTGCAGATTTTCTTTGGACATTCTTAACTGATATTCGATTAGTCACTTCGATTAATTTCTGTCCTTCTATAAAATAGAAGTTTACTGTAATAGATGAATTAGTACATATATTGTGCATCTATACAGGAACGGAATTCTGATTTGTAAAGTCTTGGTACTTATCTATCGGAGACATGTACACCCACTTGTTAATGCTAAACGTGTCTTTAAATGTTGTATCGATTTATTATCAATGTACTTGTAGATATTCATATATTCAGAATATCTAAAAATCGTTTAAAAAAACGTAAAATGCAATAGGATTAGAAAATGAAACTGCATATTCGATAACTTTAGAGAAATAAAATGGGACTGCATTATTTTAATCTCAATTTCTTTCAATTCGTCGACAAAAGTGTGAATTTGCATAAACTTCCGCAATTCCACTAGTTATCCCATTACAGCTCGTTATCGCAGAACAGAGAGAATTAAATGTTTAACAAGCGTCTTCGAATTAATCATAAATAACGCTCATATTATTTCCAATATCTACTAAAATTTTCCCACGCCATTTAAATAATTAATCAAAATTTACGTTCAAACAAATCTATCTTAATGCTAAAACACAACCACGTCCCAATCCTGTAAAAGTACATGATTACAAATCCAACTGCTTCAATATATCTCATAAAATCCCATACAAAGTTTAAAATTCATCATAATTTAACGTAGGCCAACTTTGCAACATCAATTTCTAAGTGTGGTCAAGAAGTATCACCCACATTCAACTTACACCGCAACCAATGTGTTAACAAATGTCAATCGCATTGCTAGAACAACGGTAAGTGAGAAAACATACGAAATTCTACAATAATTCATTACGGAAAAGCCACAGCAGTTAAGGGATGCCCGGCGCTAGAGCCGTGAAGTACGCGGATAGTAGACAATTCAGGCACGCGTATACCAAGCATTCATCTAAAGTAACCTAGACCAGCATGGACACTTTAACAAGAAGGTAATCCTCAACGGGTTTCGATAATAAATTACGGTTTCTACATTGACCCGGGACTTTAGGCTCGTTAGCGCGGTGCGTGCAGGTGACGATTAGCATTCGGTCGCCGGGTCCGTCGCCGGTTACGATATATACAGCGGGGGCCTTTCACGTCGCTAAATTATTCCCTCGCCACCGGATCGACGCCGGAGGTTCGACACCTCGAGGAGTAAACGACTGGCATGATTTAACCGGGGCCTGCCCCCTACTTCTCTGCCTCGTCAACTCCCCAGGCTGATTGCTGTTCTGTCCCACGTGCGTTTCTCCGATTCCGCGGCCGTGTTACCCACGGTTTCGACCTCTCTACCGATAAGTCGAGAAGAGTTTTACGCAGTGGCCGGTCGACGATTTACGATGTAATTGGGAACAGTCACCCCGGCCGCTGACAATAACCTATCATTGTTTTATGCACCGGCGGTTTCACTTGATCGGAATTCGATATTTACGATGTACCCACCACGGGATAATTTATGCGTGGATGACTTTATGGAACTGTTATTCCTGGAATTTACGAAGGCGACACCTGACGCATTGAGTCGTCTCGATAATGGAGCCCGCGCGCCGCTCGGCCGCAGGTATGCTCGAGAGTGCTGACCGACACCGCTGGTCCCGCTTCAGTTTCTAGCCGTTTGGGCTACTTGTCTGGTTAGACATAATATGCACCTTTGTGCCTTTTTAAAATGGCGCTCGTAGGAAATGTTTCGAAAAGTCATGCTATCTTTACATTTGATGGTCGTATCAATTATATATAGGTGACACTATCTTTTGCCTAGACGTGAAAGTCCTTTTGTTTTGTTTTTGTAGTTTTTCTTTGGGAAAACTAAATTTCGTGAAATGTAAGAAAATTGAAAGAGTAATTACTAAATGATGCGTAACATCTGTGATAAGATAATTCGATCATTGTAGTGGATGTTTCTATAAACTTGGCGAAACGAGATTCGAAAATAAAATTTTGCTAATTAATTTGAAAATGATGTCCATTAACGACCGAAATAATTGGAATATTCGTACGGTCGAATTGAAATCTGTCACTTTCATTGCTGTATTATCGTTGTCTAACATTCCACCAGTGAATTAACAGCTATTGAATGAAAAGTAATTTTTCCTTCCGGCTATCAAAAGATTCGTGTTATTAATTAAATACGAGGTGATTTAGATATTGCAAATTCTTGGGTCCGGAATATACACATCTATCTTGCATTCTGACTGATTCCTTTTTTCCCCGTATGTTTGCTGATCGTGCGTTATCTGTGCAAGGTATTTGCACTGCCAAATACATAGTACGTTACTCGAGATAAGAGTAAAATCGTGAGTAAAAGTACGTGAGAGAGTTTGAGCCGATGCTTAATAGTAACAGCTTCGGTGGAAATAATAATAAAAGAGTGCATAACAAAAAATTATATAACGATAAACGAATTTTGAAATTGTTTGACATATAGTTCAAACCATTTAGATAATTTATTATAAAAAGAAACTCTCCATGTCCCTTTAATTATACATTTTCCAAGCGGAACCATATGTTACAACGAATATAACCCTTTCATATCCTTAAAACATAAGGAAAAAGTACATGAAAGGAGAAACAATGAAATGTTTACTCACCGGGTTTGCAGAGCCGGCCCCAATGGTAAGGGTTGCAGCATATGTATACGGGGTCTTTAGCGGAATGACAGACAGGAAGTCTCTTGAGCTCGGACGAGTGAGTGAGATCCGGCCACCGCCAAATCTGGCAGCAGAGCAGGTGGGGATCGATCGGTGCATTGTCGAGCGACCCACGGATGGGTATCCTGTACCTGGGCTCCGGCCTGATCGGGCTGGTGTACGAGTCCTCCGCACCGGAGTGGTTCTGATCGTTGTCCTCGTCTTCGTCGTTCTCTAACGAGGGGGAACGATGATGTCTACGATGATGCCGATGATGGTAGTGATGGTGATGATTCGCGTGATGATAGTGGTGGTGATGATGGTGGTAATTGTATCGATGGGAACGATATTGTTGTTGCTGCTGCATCGGTTGTTGTTGGTCCATATCGTAGATATCGTCCTCGGGATGCTGTCGCGGCACGAGGACGCAAGGGCCGAGATCGGCACCGCAGCT